CCCCCTCTTTCTCCCCCTCTTTCTCCCCTTCGCTCCTCTTTCTACCTCCTCTCTCTCTCGCTTTCTCCCTCTCTTGTTCATTCGTTCTCCCTGCACCTCCCTCCCCTTCCCCACCTCTCCCGACAGGCTAAACCTGTTTTATATTTCGGCCCACTCTGCGTACAACCCTGTCCCACGTAGGGCGAGCGGAGCTGCGGCAGTGGCAGCGCTGCCGCCGGCGCTGGTCTCCAGGGTGCCGTTCGGCGAGGAGATCGGTCGCCACTGCCCTACCCCGCCCTCTCTCTTCCCCCGCCCCCTCCCCTTCTTCCCCTCTTCCACCAGGCCGCTGTGTCCGATAAGGGCTATGGTGCGGTGTTGGTGGCCTACCTCGCTCGGTAGCGTTGCGGAGAGTGAGAGAGACGGACAGACAGGCTCGCAGGCTTGGATAAAATTGTGAAAATTGCTGCTAATACGAAAATTAAAAGTCTGCATCGTTATTGTTTTTGTGACAATTTCTGCTTTTATTGACTTTGTCGGTCACACTGGAATTCCAGCCGTGGTGTATTAGTAACCTTTCTTGGTATTTTCTTTTCGATTGTGTACCCCGAGAGTGATTCCAGTTGCCGTGCCCGTAATCGTTCAGGAAGTACATCCGTTTTTGTCTGACTGAGTCAGCAAGTTGCTAGAGGTCGACGCCTGTGAGACTCAGGATAGGCCACCCTGCCGTACACGCATGCACTGCAGGCGAGACTTTGCCTACCTACCAGGCGCTACGAGAGTTAGCATGGGCCTGTACTTTATTTTCGTAGACGGACGGCGAATGACGGACGTCCCGTCTCGATGACCGTACACCATCGCCGAATTTGGCAATCGCCCTGGTCAGCATTCTCGTCCTAGGTGCACCGGGCGGTTAGGGCAAGCGACTATTCTCCTCAAAGAAAACTTGTTTTGCCCCCGGACGGGCGCGTTGGCTGGCGGTGCCACATTATGGAAGCTTTGCTTTGTGCTGCTTGAGGTTGACGCAACTGGTGCGTCGCTCCGCGCTACGCCACGACACCTCCGTGCGCCCAGCCCCGCCCCGCCGCGGGTCCACAGGTGTCCGATAACTCGGTGTGGTCGTCTGCGCGAGCCCTGGCTGCCTGTCGTGCCCCTCGTTGGACAGAAACACACCGACGACAACTGTGTGTGTTCCGAAAATCCAGCGCAAGGACAGAGTCCCGCACTGTTGCCACTTCTTAACATTAAAGAATAGGCGGGTGATGCTTGCAACGGTGAAGGGTTGCACTGTACTACCGTTTTCAAGGCAGCAAGCACCCACTTCAAAAGTGAGGGCTGCAGTCATTTTTGTTAAAACCCAACTCGAACTGGCAATTTACAGTTTAATTCACAGTTTAAAGCTCATGTTTCTAGTCCACGAGTTGTAGACCGTAGCGGTCCATAACTAACGCATGGCTTATATATGCGGGTAGTTTGAGTCCCTGAAGCTGACAATGGCCTCTCCCCGGTATATTACTAGCTCGCATGTCTGGCCTGGCTGCTAAGCCCATCCAAGCTGGACGGCCATGTTTCTCTCCATTATCCTACGTCTTGAGAGAGTTTTGAACGAGTAGAGTTGTACTGTGAGCCACGCTTTATGCTAACGCCGCCCGGCGTCGCGTTGTCGCGCCTCGTGGCCAGGCCGACGGTGAGCCCCGTGGACCCCGCGCCATGGAGCCCTAAAGGCGGGCCTAAAGGTGGCCCCCATAAGCGGCCGCAACGTAATGGCCCGCTGTAAGTCATATGCGCCCCCAGGCCCATCCTGACGACTGTAAGTGTCCCGGCCGACTAGTGGGCCGCCCCGCCCGCCGCCCCCCGGCTTTGCGCCGCCCACCCCATACCTCATGCTGGCCAATCTCTCTCTCTCTCTCTCTCTCTCTCTCTCTCTCTCTGTACTGCTCTCTCTACTTCTCTGTCTCCCTCTCTTCTTCTCTCCCTCCTTCTCCCTCTCCCTCGCTCCCTCATCCCCTCGCTTCTCTCTCTCTCTCTCTGTACTGCTCTCTCTACTTCTCTGTCTCCCTCTCTTCTTCTCTCCCTCCTTCTCCCTCTCCCTCGCTCCCTCATCCCCTCGCTCTCCCTCGCTCTTTCCTCTATCTCTCTCTCTCTCTGTCTCTCTCGAGCACGGGCAGAAGCAGCAGCAGCTGAAGCTGAAGCCGCCTGCCCTTGCCCAGCACCACCGCCCTTCTGCGACAATTTGATGACCCTCGGTCTCTTCTTTGGCCTCGCCAGGTGGTGGTTACGGTACGGCTGTGCGCATAGCCTCCCCCTCTCCGTCCCTCCCTACCTCTACCGCCTACTCTCTCCTGCACTCTGTCCTTATCTCTTGTCCTCCTCGCTTGTTATCGGGAGGCCGGTGGCACCGCCGCCGTGTGCCGGCAGCAGTCCGTCCAGCCCGCTGCCGCTGCTGCTGCTGGTCTCGAGGTGTGAATATTCATGCCAGCCGTCCCGTCTCGTGCGCCGCGCTCCGCCCCGCCCCGCCCCGCCCCTCGACACCTCATCATTACACCTCGGGGTACGCCCCGCCCGGTGGCGTTGGCGCGGCGCTGCGGCAATTGTCATAATCCCGATATGGCCCCGGCCAAGTTCATGAAGCGACACGAGCAGCAGCAGCAGCAGCAGCAGCAGCGTGGGGAGGGCAGAGCTCGCCCGGGGGCGAACCGCGCCGCCGACACCGCGTGCGCGCTCCGCAGCCGCGGCCGGGGTGTTATTTGCACGTAGTTAGTATGGAGACTGCCGGGGTACAAGTTTGGCGGATTTCGAGTGGCTCGACCGATCCCTCCTTGCTCTTCCCACGTTGTCTTTCTCTCTCTTTCTCTCTCTCTCTCTCTCCCTCTTTCTCTCTCCCTCTTTCTCTCTCCCTCTTTCTCTCTCCCTCTTTCTCTCTCATTCTTTCTCTCTCCCTCTCCCTCTTTCTCTCTCATTCTTTCTCTCTCCCTCTCCCTCTTTCTCTCTCCCTCTCTCTTTCTCTCTCCTCTCAGCCACTTCCTAGATGCTGGCTGAGAACAACTAAAACTGTACTACATGTGCGCGTGGTTCGGTTGCGACCTTCTCCACAGATGTCTACGTCACCCCTGCTCGCCTCTGCGCGTGTGTGTGTGCGTGTGTGTGCAGAGGTGTACTATAGCGGCCGTGATCCTGCACACATACGCGCTCACTCTCGCACATCAACAAACAAAACGTGTGCGGGCGCGTGTATGACTTGCATTTCGTGGGTATATGACGTGCGCGTGTGTGTGTAATCGCGCCCGGTTCTAATGTATGTATATGCGCCTGTGTGCGTCTGTGTGAGTTGCACTGTGCGGCATGGTCTGCCCGCTGCTGGTGTGGTACAGTTTTAGATGTTTGACTTTCAGATTTCGCCGGGCGTCGGCGGCGGCCATGTCTCGTTAGCGGGCGGCTTCGTGCTCAAGTCGCCGTGCTGCGGTGCGAGAGAGACAGAGGGGGGAGGGGGGG